TCAGCAGGAGTAACTTGGTATGACAGGAGCTTAAATACAAGTCCACGCGGAAGCAGAACTGGTTTCCAATGACAAGGCAGCACCAGCCTGTGCTGGGAGAGTTCAGATGTTAGGGAATAGCATTTAGATTTCAACGAAGAGTAAAAATACACCTTGAATGGTTTACCTGTGTGTAGGAACAGCTTGGAAGGCATTGGAAAGGCACGGAGAGCAATTAGCTACTCACAAATAGAGGAAGAAACCTTGAGCGTCTGCCACAAAGTTTTTTTTTAAAGTTTTGTTTGTTTTGAGTGTGCTGATTGCTAGCATGTTTAGGAAACCTGCTGTACCTACAATCACTAATGGAAGCTATGTGCAGGGGCAATCTAATGGCAGGTTGCCTTCTATGGACAGCAAAGAGCCAGTCCGGGAAGAAAAAGTAGTGCTGAAGAAAAAAGTAACTTTGTTGAGAGGCATATCCATTATAATTGGTACTATCATTGGAGCAGGAATCTTCATCTCTCCTAAAGGAATTCTGGAGAACACCGGCAGCGTGGGAATGTCCTTGGTTGTCTGGACAGTGTGTGGTATCCTCTCATTGTTTGGTAAGTTAGTCAAAGTTTATAATTGCTCCTTTGGGACAGCTGGTGAATTCTTCTCTTCTTATTTTTGCTAGTGGATATCAAAGATCAATCTGATGCTTGAGGACCAATAAGGCTATGGATACTTATTTGCTATTTGATGGGCTCTCTCAATGGTACAGTTGTGTGCAATCTATATTGCCTCTATCATGAGTATTATGGCATAAAACTCTACTGAAGGGCTGTATGAAGACCCTAGACCAAACAGTGTTTTTAATGCATCCCTAATATATCAGGAGAGGGAAGTATCCATTACTGTATTGTGAAGTGTGGTATATGTTTGATGTTCTTGTTTTAAATGTATGGATTAGTTTACAGCATGCTTGCAAGGTGCTGGCAGCTAGAGAGATGGGCTGGTCATTTTGAACACCTGTGAGATGTTTAAACAGCTTTTCTCAGTTCCCTGCTCATCTGATCCAGTTCTAAGATGAATAACTTCTGGACAAAAACATTTACTGGCAAGAAATTGAATTAAATTAAAACTTTCTGCAACTGTTTTTCACTTCATTTATCAGTTCACAATATTTTATGAAAGACTGCACCCCCAAAATTGAGGAATTTCGAAACAAGCACATATTGTGAACTTTGTCTTCTGGAATGCATTTGGCTACAATTTTTGCACATTTTCATTAGTAAAAGTATTAGAACTCCTTATGAATGCCAGTTTATTTGTCTTGTTGTATAAAGAGCTGCATTCACAATGGATATCAGCACCCTTGATTATGTGGAACAGAAGGTCTATTGACCAACTCAATGAGTTAATCGCAAAAAAGCTGAGCAACTGACACAAATATTGGCTTTATTTAAAATCCAGACTACTTGTCTTCTGGCATGTGGTAAAGAGGGAAAACACTAAGTAGCATGTGCCTGCTTAATAGATGGGACATGTGAATTTTGCCCTGGGTAGATTGACCAGGAGCATTGATTGTTATGAAGGAATACAAAGAATGAAAAAGAATGTTGAAAAATGTTAGGGCCCTTTCTCATCAGAGCTTGAATTTATTTCATTACAGGCAAAATATAAGACAACAGTAATTTGCCATCGAACTCTGAAGGTACTGCCTAAGACCCAAACCTTTTTCTTGAAGTAAACACAATTTGGCATCCAGTTATATGCTGGCCTTTGGATAAAACTAGAGACACACCTTGCCTGAACACAGGATATTTGAATTTAACCTTCATAGTTATATGGTATACGAACAGAGTGATTAAATATAGTACATTCTGATTTTTCCCCTCTGCCTTTACATGTTGTGATAAGATGTCATACATTTTTCACGTCATACACACGTTGTAAAATGTCATACATTCATGTTGTGATAAAATGTCATACATACTATTTTTCATTACCAGTGGTCTTGGTGATGCTCTCTATGAAACACTGATTACAGCATTACAACAGCTTCTTTCAAACTGATTCTGTCTTACAACCTTCCAGATAAATTGGCAAGAAAGAACACATCAGCTGGTTTCTCTAAATGTGACTCTCCAATCACTTTAGGTAGAATATCAGTTACGTTCATTAATACCACACAAAGACTTCAGCAGGGCCCCAAATCGAAGCAAGTGCGATATGCATGGAGTTCTTAATAAAAACATGTTTTAATGGCTGTAGAATACATCCCTATCAATGAAAAAAAATGTATATTATGTAGTGCTTTCTCTATTGTCAGACTATATCACATGCATGTATGTATGTGACCAAAAACACTGGGCATACGAGTGGTTTTGAGTGTTGTGCTGCTTTGAAAAATGTGGTTTATACCTTAAAATGCTATAGCATTATTTACTGAGGGACTGCATCCTTGACCACTGCATATATATCACCGATCATAACACTGCAAGCCATGATTTATTAAAACCATATAGTTCTATTGATTCTGTATTCCTGCATGTTACTAAACCATTTATAACGGTATTTATGAGATACACCTCTCCTTTACTGATGTTGTCCACACATGGAGATGAGAACATTTTATCCTCCTGGCTAAAAGACTTTGCTCTTCTGCAAAGTGGCCATGTCTACATGAGATTAATGTGTGTGAATGATTACTGTGCGTTAATTTAGTACTTGCATAAAAAGATACTAAATAAATGTGTAGTAACCCAAGTTACTGTACAGTGGTGCTAGTGAATGCCTTCTTTGTGATGCTACTGTGCCTAATACTACTGCGCAATAGTGTTGCATCACACTTTTTGCCATGCAACACTACAGTGCACTAATATTGGGCTACTGCGCAGTCCGGGTCTCATGTAGACATGGCCACTGATTGACAAATTTGGACAGGAAGACTTATGACTTTTAGATCAGATTGGAAAAGACTGTGCCTTTCTCTGTAGCATGTGGTCTGGTCTCCTTCTTGTATTCATCCAAATGCATGTTAAGCAATTACTTCTGTGTCATAGCATTAGCAGTAGTCTAGGTTCCTCTATTTTTACCCATGGGATGTTACAGGGTGTTTTTTGGGTTTCTGGTTTTGTACTTTGAAATTGTCTGTGAGGGTTTGAAATGGTCGTATTGGGAATTCCTTGGGTAACAGTTTGCCTGAAAATACAGTGGTCCAGGAGACCCCTTTCAGTTCTTTGTTCCTATACTCCTAAGTCCTTATAGTGGCTATCTACCGCCAAATGCTGCATGAAGGGTGAAGAAAGCAGGTGGCAGTCTTAGTGAATGCTCCAGTGGTATGGTACTATTTTTCTCAAATTCATTTAAAAAAGGAACAACCATTCTTGACTTTTGCAGGAACAGGCTGCCATGACACCAATATTGTTTTATGTTTTATTTTATCAAGTGTAAACATGTTGAAGACTGTATTCTCCTATTCTGTTGAAGAAGAGTCCTCCTGTTAAGGGGGCATGAAGGCCCTCTGTGTTTAAGACAGAAATGCAGTTTAGGAGTGCATATCAGACTGTGAAAGTGTTGAAAAATTTGATTTTGGGTGTTTGTTAGCCAGTGTGCATGAGGAATTCATAGATATTAGGGTCGGAAGGGACCTCAGTAGGTCAACCCCCCACTACTAGCAGTAAATTAACAGTACTAGCAAGTAAATTCCTGTATCAAGAGTGCATGCTTCCTGACATTGTCTCATCAATATGTTTCACAACAAGGGTTAAAAGTGTACAATTTCCAGGCCTTTGTCATTTCAGTAGGGTCTGAACCAATGATGTGTCATCCTGATGGGACTTGTGTGATAGGTAACCAGGCCAGTTAGCATGACACAGCAGTTTCATTTACCTGGTCACTATGAATTGGTTGAGCAATGAAACATTGTATCAACAAATAAGTTATTCAGTGTCTTAGGATCAAATGTAATTGAATACATTACACACACATTATTTGAGGCTGCTTGTATTAATGAAAAAAAAAAGGAAGAATATCTAAGATTTAACCAACTCTCCTATTTACCCTGTTCCTACTGTTTGTTATAAATATTTTGAATAATCCCCATTGATTGATTATCTCTTGTAGTACTACAATGTAATATAAATACATTTTTCATAGGTGCACTCTGTTATGCGGAACTAGGAACATGCATCAAGAAATCTGGAGGCCATTACACATACATCCTGGAAGCCTTTGGACCATTACCTGCTTTTGTTAGAGTCTGGGTGGAACTGCTTATAATACGGTGAGTCTCCTGTAGGTTTTCTTAACCCTTGTTGTTCCAATGTCAGTACATTGAAATGCAGCAAAAAAAACTTGATTGGTGATGGACAGAGATAGTCTAATGCATTTTGACACTCAGACTTAATTCTGTTCAGATTTCTGCTTCAGAACTGTTTTCTGTTTGGTTTGGCAGCACTGACATTTTGGTTTGCAGACTCTCTCTGTGTCTTCTGGAAAAAAACCCAAATCAAACTAGTTCTCATTCAAGGTCAGCTACAGTACTTGGTTTTACAGCTATGAAGGTACAAGGCTTACCCATATCAATAATATTTCAGGTACCCATGTAGTAAATAATAATAAATAATAATAATAATAAATTCAGATAGGACTTCTCTTTGTATCCCCTCATGTGTTTGGAACACATGACTATGAAACTTACTATGGAAGCATACGATCCCCCTGTTCAGCTTTTTATATTTATGCCTACGTCACATAGCTCAGTAATTCGCAACCTTTTTAGATCTGAGGCACCCCTAAACAGACTCCAGGCATCCCTCTGAAAATGTCAGCTCTTAACTTTCGATGTGCTTTTTACAACAGATAAATACCAGAATGATAATTCTGTTGGAAAGAACTCAGAAAGACCACAGCAGGGCAGAATGTTTTTAACACTCTGGATTCTTATTTGAAATCTTTGGGTTTATCTTGTGATTTGCACACCTAACAGTATTAACATTATGTGGTACCCTGTGGTACCTTTGAAAGGGTCTCAAGGCACCCCAGAGTGCCATGGCATACTGGTTGAGAATTACTGACATGGCTAGATACAATAAAGGATGAAGAGCCATGAGGGTACATGATCTGACTCCCTAGTGGTAAGGCTCAATTATACCAGATTTATGCTTCAATATTTCCACTTCTTGTTATGGTCAAAACAAGAAATAGCAAAACTGCTTGGAAATTTAAATGCAACAAAACAAAACAAATTAAATGGTAGACTCTGATCCTGGAAAAATGGTATAACTCTATAATTGAGTTGGGCCAAATCCCAGATTCCTGGAAAGGGAGTATTATTGTACTGATTTTCAAGAAAGGTTTGAAAGATAAGCCAGAATCTTATTGCCCTATAAGTTTGATAGACGTTTAAGCTAAAATTTTTGGGTGCCATTTATTATATCACATAACATGGGTGAAAGGGGAAAACATATTACATGAACATCAGACCGGATTTAGGGACAGATATTCCACTATTGTTAACATTTCATTCTTCAATTTTTGAGACATAATTTATACGCAAATGCACAAATCAGCACTGTGTATTGCATTTGTAGATTTGTAAAGAGCCTTTGATAGTATAGATAGAAGTAAACTTTGGGAAAAACTGATAAATTATGGGATTGACCCTTCTCTTTTGCATTTGTTGATAAAATATTATAAAGATACATGGGTCCAAGTTAGGTGGGGCTTGAAGGGTGACCTCGCACAAAAAATTCACATACAAAAAGGGGCTGGGCAAGGATGTATTTTGGCCCCTTTGTTATTTAATCTTTACATGAATATTATGGGAAATATGCAGGATGCGTATTTTCATCCCCCAAAATTATAAGCAACCCTGATTCCTATTTTAATGTATGCAGATGACACTGTTATACTGTCAAGAAGTCCTATTGGATTACACAGAGAAATTACAACTTTTGAGCATCTTCGTGAACAAAATAATTTAAAGATAATTTATGATAAATCCAAAATAATGTATTGGGGAAGTCGTTTGATGAAATATCCATGGAATATAGGGGGAACCAAACTTGAAGTTGTCAAAACCTATAGATATCTGAGTGTCTTATGCACAGCTTCTCCATCATGGAAGCATCATATACAGTCAGCTAAAATTAAGGCAACCCAATTGGCTGTGTCTATAAAGAAATTTTATGAAACCACAGCAGGGCGATCAGTCCAAGCTCTTATATACAAAGCCAAAGTTACCTCTCATATTTTATGTGGTGCTGAAGTATGGGGTTATGCCTCTAGTAATGATGTAGACATACATACCTCAGAACAAGTTTCTTAGGGCTCTTCTGGCTCTTCCTCCCTCAACTCCTGCATCTTTTCTGAGATTAGAGGTGGGAATTGATTCTATTTTAACTAATATTATTATTAGAATGGCAAGATTTTGGTTTAAAATCCTTCCCCTTTTACCATCTCATCTGCTTAAATTACGCTACATAGAAGATGTTAATTATCCCCCTCCTCTCCAGTCACCTGCGTTAGCTTTTCTTTCCCTCACTTTTCTACTTTTTGGGATGGGATACTATCTCAAAGGTAATGAAACATCTTTCTCCCCCATCGAAAAGGTTCGAGCTTTCCAGAGGATACGACATATTGCCAGGCAGAATGATTTTGCAGTGGCTAGGGCTACTCGCATTGCCCCTTTATATACTCTTTGGAAATTAGATTAGGGGGGAGAAAGGTATCTACAGTTGGATCTCAATAATAAATGGAAACTCTCGTTGACTAGACTCAGGACCGAACAGATGCCCACAGCTGTTCTGGCTGGACGTAGCTTTTCCATCCTAAGGGCTAAAAGATGTTGCCCAGTCTTGTCTAGGAGTTGTGGAAGCTACTGTCCGCTACGTATTACAATGTTCCTTATATAATGATATAAAAAGAACCTATTTATTACTGTACTTGCAGAAATTGATACACTTCTCAAACAGAGATAAATTAATCTGGATTTTGCAACAAACAAATCCAAATGTAATAAACTGTCTCACAATTTTTGCTTACAAGGCTGAGGAGATTAGAGCTAAATATCCTTTATTACTGATATGAATGATACATTTTAACATTAGACTTGATTTTATTGTCTCAATTGTGGATCTGTGTATAGCAATATTATAGATTTATGTCTTGATTTACTACTATATTTATATTAATAAAATGTTTTTATGTTGGTGGGCTCTATTTTTAGTATAATATTTGTAGTTTGGTTACTTTGTTCAAACTTGTTTATATTATGGGTGTATATGTGTTATGTCATTTTTGGGAGCATGGCATTTAGCCAGAATCCTAAAATAAAGATTTGGTTCAGTCCACAAGATACATGGCAGTTTAGGCTCTGTCATATTTAAACTGATTCAGTATTTCTACAACCAAACTTTTATAGAAAATCTTGTAATGATGAAAGCCAGTAGAAATATGTTAAAGTTAAATAGGATCATATGCAAATTGCTGGAACACTCAATGAAACTTCACAGAATACCATCCTGTTGAAAGAAACTAAATTGCCCCGTGGAATTTAATATAAAATATTCTAGATATAAAATTGTATAGGACAATTTAAAAGTTCTGTGTTAAAGTTACTAATCTCCACAAAGTCTTTTCCAAAAGGGAACTTTGTCTCTGGAAAGAAAAATATTTTCTTAACATTGCAAATCAGCCAAAACGTCACACATCATGTTGGATCAGACTGCAAGAGAGTAAATAAAACTATCTTAAGAACATTTCTGGGTTAGCTGAGTGATCAGTGATACTGGCTGTCTCATTTACACACAAAGGAATATAATAACACGCAGTGCCTGCTTCTCCTCTCACACCAATTCAAACCTGGTATTATTTTAACTGCAGCTAATACCTTATTTACACAGGTGTAAAGAGAGAGAAATAAAGCTCCTAGAATTTAGATGGTGCACATTTACATCAGTTGAGATGTACAGAAACAGACTGAATGTCAGATTAGAACTTTTAAGGTTTCACATGCAACTTCCTCCCTCAATTCCACCTCTTTCTTCCAGAGCTTTACCTAGGCTTTTTAGAGACCTCTTAAAAAGAGACAGTGATAGCTAGCTGTGCCACCATTATTTTTACACACCCATTCCCCCCCCACCAAATAAGCTTGCAGCGGCTCTAGAAAAGTCTTATGAGCTTTCATTTTTTCTGGGGCCTTTGCTAAGAGTTGCAATCCACAAACAAAGAAATCAGTGGATCAATGTTACAGAGCTTTTTTTTTGCATTATATGAACAAAAAGATTATATGAAAAAAAATCCAAGTTCTGAAGAGCTTTTGTTTTCACTAGCAGGTATAAAAAAGGTTAATACCTTTTGATCAAGGTATAAATAGCATGATACCATGTGAGTGGAAACTTGTAATATGCTGCCAGCACATACCATTTTTCTAAAAACTGGTGCAGCTGGCAGTATGTTCTTGTTCAACTTATGACTGAAAGCCTATTAGCACCTACCATCTTTAAATGCTGTGGTGACTCCTGCATAGTTTTAAAGCTTAGTGGTAACATGGCTCTAGGGGAAAAAAACTCCCTAATCGCATTAGTGAAGGGAAGAGTACTAGTGAGAAATGCATTTAAACATGATGGTTGGTAGGACCGTTTAAATGTGTCTTAGGTTTGTAACAGTTCCTAAAATGATTGTGGGGGGAGGAAATGTTTGTTCCTAATTGTGGCTGCTCCAAGAGCCTGTGGGTGTGTTAACACTGCAGTCTCTCACAGGGAAAAGGACTTAGCTGAGAAAACTGTGTGCAACATTTTTTATTAAAAGAACTAATACACTTACAGGTCTTTAGTTCTCTCAATGGCAGCCAATTAGTTTACATCAGTGAGAATCAGAAATACAATTCTACACAGAAATTTAGCAATATGGTCCTGTCTACAAGCTATAACAAGTCTGTTCCCTTGGCTGGCTTTCAGATTTAATGATTCAGGGATGTCTTGACATCATTCTCATTCTGTGTTAATATTTATTAGGTGTAAGGCCGGTCATGATGACAACAAAGGTTCTCATGACATCAGTGGGATATTACTTTTAAAAGAAAACCAAAGTTACTTGGTGTTCTTTCTATCTTTAACCATGTTAGTGCATGCTAGAATGTGTAAACCTTATGCAATACATTATCAATTCACATGAAGCTTGCACAACAGTGACTAATTTGCTGGTTTGAGAAGTAGGAGGAAATGAGACCTGTAAATCATATTTGAAGTGAACGCACGTTTTTGTTATTGTTTTATTCTGCTTTGTTTGTAGGTGAATTGCTTCACTCTATAGGTAACAGGTTCCCCATTGTCACAGGCAAAGAGTTTCTCACTGTCACGTAATGCTGCAAACACATTCCAAGGGTCGGGGGAGTACATTTGTATTTGATATCTGGTGACTATTTAAAAAAACAATTCCAGTCTCCATAAGTTATAGCAGCTTGTAGATGCCCTAACTTGTTCCAAGGGCCAGCCCCAGCATTGAGGGATGTAGCAAAGTAGCTTCCTGTCTCAGCTATGCTGAGTTTGAGCAAATTTCCTTCCCCAAAATGTTTATAATCTTAGGTACAATTTAATCTGCAATCACAGTCCTGAGATAAAGCAGCACAATGTTCCTGTATATATGTTGTCTATGCATTGCTATAGATTAACCATCATTTCTTGATTATTTCTTTCTGTCTACTTTAGGCCTGCTGCTACAGCAGTAATATCCCTAGCATTTGGACGCCATATTTTAGAGCCATTGTTTATGCAATGTGAAATCCCAGACCTTGCAATTAAGTTTATTACAGCAGTTGGCATCAGTAAGTATCAAACTTGGGGTTGCAGGGAAGGGTAAAGGTGTTAAAGTAGAAAATAACTGTACATGAATTAGATGATCAATTGATGTGAACCGTTACAGAATTACTTTGCATTCAGGGCCTGCGAGGGTGCGCGCGCGTGTGTTCCTGTGTGCGCATGCCCATGCCCATGGACACTATTGTGAACAAAAAATATCAAGTCATAGGAGTTTCTATATCAGGGCCTGATCTTATTCCAACTTCAGTCAATGGTTAAACTCCTGTCTACTTCCAGTTTCACTCTCTAAGGAAGTAAGTGAGTAAATGGCAAAAAAATGGAGGAGTGATGCCAAGTTGTAAGTGCTCTGTCCAGGTTTTAGGAGATAAGAGTGCCAAGAGGGAGGCCAGGAAGCAACAGGCTACTTCTGATTGGTCCAAAGGCTGCATGAAATCATCAACACTGATCCTGCTCACTCCCAGTAAAGCATTCGAATCCCATTACTTTCTCTGCACTTTAGCTAAGTGATGAATCAGGTATTAAAGAGTAGTATGAATACACAGTAGGAAAAGCTCATCCTACTCTTTCTTATTTTGCAATTGGCACCTGCATTACAGAACTCTGGTTACTTCTTTTGGAATCAGGGTGCTAGCTCCTTAGAAGTGCTTTACAGAATAACTAGTTTGGCAAATTCCTAATAGAAACATAACTATACTGGTAAACCTATGCCTTGTGTTGACATTGTAAAATCAACTGTCAGCAAGTGAAGCAAGCCTTTATGGTGGTATGCAGATGAGCACAGACATTTGGTTTCATGGGGACAACCAGCAGCAGCATACCTTGTATCGCTGCTACTGTCCCCGGGGAATGCCTGTGCTATGTGCTCTCTGGCATGTGGCAGGTTACTCCGGATGGGGTAGGGGAGGCTGGGACCAGCAACTGTGCTGACCCCTGCAGCCTTACCTGGGATCCTGGGGGCTGGGGAAACCGTGTGCGCCTCCTGCCAGCCAGGCTCCAGTTTTGGGCAGTGTGTGCTGCCTCCACGAGCACCACCCTGGTTTTTTCTGCCTGGCTTTTTTTGATCCTGGGATCTCCTAAAACAAATCTCCCCTTCCCCTGCTTCCGGCGCTGCAAGGTAGCAGTGTGGGAAATGCCTGAATCTGCAGCGTGTGGCGCTGTATACTTGTGGCACTACATATTGTATGGCCACGCTCATTTTGTTGTCCCCAAAGGACGGTGAGTTCGTGCCTGGTGCGCTTGTGCCAATAAACACACAGGGGTGAAGGATCCAACTTATTATTTCTGCGCAGAAAGTGGTGCTTGGCAATCGTTCGCAAAGCAAGCACCCACACCCCAGTGGGCGTCTGCCTTATATAGCTACGTAACAGGTTAAACTTGCTGATGTGATGAAATGTGTAGCAAGCCCAGCAAGTAACCCCCCTTCCAGCTCCCCCCCAAGTAACCCCCCTTCCAGCTCCAGAACTTTGTTGATACAGCTTTTCCTCTAGCGAGGCCAGCAATTAAACAACTAAGCAACAAGCGATCTCCCCCAGCCTAAACAACCTACTCTATGCCCTTGGTTAGATAAAATACTTTTTCAAAACATACAAAGCTGTTCCTGAAGTAGAAAATGCATAGTAAAAGTTCAGGGGATCTCTGCTGGACATGGCTTCCAGCCCTACCTCTGTCCCTAGGGGTTTAGCCAGGTGCCCCTGAAACAAGGGGTGCTTATCAATTTGGACACAGCCTATGGTGTCATAAAAGTACCATTTTGCTGGTATGTAACGTTTCATATTTCTACACAAGGGATTTCTGATGACCCAGCCACGTCCATCAGGGATCGAACTTCTTTATTCATACCACTGACACATCTACGCTGGCAGAAGTCTATAGTGTAGACTTCCGTTATGTGGCCCTAATAAAAGATTGTTCATTTTAATTTGGGAGCTAATATTTAAGGAACAAAAGGCCTAGAAAAGGGGAATTGGGGTATGCATAACAATATAAGCCATGCAAAAAGACACTTATTTTACACAGGCAATTCAGTCAAATAATTTTTTATTTAAGGTGTGGGATCTGGGTTGACCTTGACAATTCCAGTCTCCAGTGTAATGAAATCTGTCATTCGTGGAAGCTCTTCATTGTGGACATTTTCTCCACCTGGTAAAACTACCCCTCCCTCCCCAAAAAAGAAAGAAAGAAAAAAAAGAAAAAAATCCCAACATGACTACCATTGTATCTGTTTTTATTATGTAGAAACCATGGGTTTCATATGGGTAATTGGATTAAGGGCTTCGATGTTTGAGGTTAATAACTTTTTATAGTTACATATGCCTAAAATAGTTCAGGAAAAGATAAGAGTAAAACAGATGTTCAGTAACTTTAAGGTCATTTAGACAGAAGGAATGTTACGTGGGGACTCCAGTAGAGTGTTTTGTTAAGTACATGTAATTGAAGCACAATGAGTGAACAATTTAAAATACAATTTTTTATTACTTTTCATTTAATTGAAAATCTGTGCAATAAGCCAGGATTTCACACAGTAATTAACGAAAGATGCAGCTTTGCAGGAGGGTGGAGTTATACTGAAATAATTACACCCTTAAGGGAAATAGGAGTTAACAGAAAACTGTTGCTATAGTAACTGAAAAAGAGTTTGTGTGGAGCCAGGTAGGATGAGTTTCTCGCTGAAACTAGAGATTCCTGTAGAAAGTCTTGTCAATATGAGCAGTAATGTCAAGAGACACATTGACGCGTGGGATTTAGTTTTTAATTTTGTTCTTTGGATTACACCCTACAACACCACAGCATTTCAAGGTGTGCATAATATGATATGATAGACATGTATAAGGGTCTGATTGCAAGTGCAAATGTATATAATTGTTCTTTATTTTGTTATTATTATTAGTTGCTCTGTGTTTGCAATATAATGCTAGCAGTCAGGATCTTCTTGTGCCGTTTCCTGCATTCACTTGGAGAAGGACATACGTTTACAATGGAATTTAGTGCTGGAGAAGATAATCTCTGTTTCCATTCAAGAGTATAATTTAGTCTAAGTCAAGCAACAAGTCAGCCACCCTATCTTTTGCCTTTCTTTCCCACTTCTTGTCACTTCTTTTTGTTTGCTGTGATGGATGATGGTGGGTAATAAGAGTGCTTTCTGCAGATCTTGTTAGAAGCATCATTAAACTATGTGCTGGTAATGAGAGAGATTTTGTTCTGTAGCCTTACCGCATTGGCTTTTGATCTCCTCAGCAAGCGTGATTCACAAGATAAGCAGGGTTGGGCCAGATTAGTACTTGGATGGGAACATTCCCAGTAAAGCTAAGAACTGTGTTAATGATTCAACAAGTGACACAGTTTCCTTTGAAGCAGAAGAGTGCCTGAGCATTGTGTAAGGGTAGGGGACATGTTACTGATGAGAGACAAAATGGACTTCCTAGGCAAAGTGTCCCTTTAAAAAATCCTATTATTATTATTTTACAAAGTACACATGAAATTGCCTTTCCTGCCATGGAAACATTTAAAAGTCCTTGAAGCAAATGTCCTGCCAGTATAACCCATTCCTGTTTACATATTGTGCCCCTACCAGTTGGGCCTATCATAAGACTTTAGTGAGGTGATACAGCCTAAACTTAATTAACTCATTATACATCAAAAGTGTATGCATGGGGATAATCTTTAGATTCCCTCCAAGTCTTCTGCCACAGAAGTGGAGCCCAGTTCCTTATTTCTTTCCATTGTCAGTATCATTTATCTCAGTTTGTAAGCCACTGCAAGCAAGAAGCCTAGAAATACACATTTCTTTTTACATGAAATGTAATCTCTTCTTAACATTTATAGGATCCCCAGGTCTAGAGTCCCTTAGCTGCAGGCTTTGCAAGACCGTAAGGTCTACATTTTAAGTGGCTTAAATTAAATATCATATTTTTTGCTATGTCCACACAATGCCTAGTGAGGTGATTAATGTATATTAATATGCTTGGGGATGTATTACATTGTATAGGTATATCAAACTGTATTGTTGCCATGTTATCTGAGTGCATATACAGTTTGAATGGAACAAGCTTAATCAGTTCACTGATTTCCATATTAAGCCAGAGAATGTAAACAGGTTTCAGCTGCACCAGGTTGAAAACAGGTCAACATCTCATATATGATTTACAAGTTTTTAACATGTTTGGGTGTATTACTTTGAGTATTTGGCACTAGAGAGAAGACTCAAATTTCCCTTGCCCTTGTGTTCTGTCACAAGAGCAAAAAGCACCAGTGGTATGAGACTAGACACAGGCAATTTTGTACTGAGGAAGTGCAGTCAGCATTGCCCTGAAAAACTTCCAGCATTTGCTGAAAAAAAACTGAATTTTTTTGTTTGGCCAAGGCAGAATTTTGCATTAATTCAGAGCTTACTTGCAGAGGTGTAGCCAGCTGTTTCAGCACTCCAGGCAGAGGTGATGGGTGAGGAGGGGAGTGCCACTGTCACTCCAGTGGAAGCTGATTCTACTAAAGCTATGGCTGGAGCAGCATGGGTTTGCATTGCTTCTCCTGGGGAAAAGGCAGCCACATGGGCTCCCTGGGGTCACTCCTGGTTTCTTGTTTGTTTCTTCTCCTTTCCCACAGACACAGGACTGTCTCCCATCTGGAAAAGCCTCCTAGGAGGTGTCATTCTACTCTCCCTGCCCCACAGATATGCTACTGGACCTGGGCCTGTGCCTGCCTGGCTCCTACAGATATGGGGTGCAGGGCTGCCTCTGCAGTGGTTAAGACACCTGGAAGGAGGGAGCCATTCTCTCTAACTTGGTGCCTGGGGCTGGTGCCCCACTCACCAACCCCTAGTTATGCTACTGCTTATGTGATTCCAATTAATACCTTTTTCTCCAGCTTGGTAATTGCCAGTGCCAGAAGTTATGATGCCAGGTATGTCTACACAACACATTGCTGAGTTACACAGATGTACCTGATCTGGATCTGAATGGGCTAGCTCAGGTGCCCAAGGCAATATACCTAGCGAAGTAGTCTGCCTGGG